AATTAAGAATGTGACCATATGACAAATTTACTCTGGAACATTCTCGTTTTCCCATGGAGGAAAAGTCAAGTAAATACAACACATGGTATTTATTCTAGAGTAATACATCATTCTTTTGTGCAGCATTTCTTCTAATATTTCTACTAAGATGACCTCAATAGCGACTACTTTTGGCAGCTAATTTAAGAAAACCCTATTACAGATTAAATTTACTGAGAAGTAAAATATAGGATAAAATGATGTAGAAGGAATAAGATAGACAAGAAATGTAGCCTCTTTCTGTTTGAGGAATGTCCACAGGATGATAATGATTCCTTGGAGGATAAGACTCATTCTTATAGATGGTAAAACATCTCAACAACAGAAACCATACTCTACATTTCCAAATGTGCTAAAAATAGTAAAATCAGAGATAGGGGGAACCAGAATATTTACATTTAAGATTTGTTTGTTTAATTTTCTCTAAACATACTGTAACAAAATTTTAAACAAAGTCATTCAAGGTAAATTATGTGAAGCTCCTACCTTCTCGCTCAAGAGGATCTATATAGTGTAGACTTTTTCCTCATAACCATACAAATAATAAAAATGATTACAAGATCATTCACTATCTGCCAAGCTAGCAAGAGGGGGTTCACAGCTAGGTTGGTAAGTCTCTCTTGTGCACTGAGCATGAATGCATGTGCATGAACATACACATGATTTTCTACTTTAGGAAATAAAAAATGAGCAATTTTCTATTTTATACTTAAGTTCAAATTATTCCTTTTCCAAGGTAGACAGGGAAGTCTTAAAATTCTTAAAAGTCTTAAAATTCTATGCATCTTCCTTTCTCCTGTTCCCACATGGGCACTCAATGGTATTCATAAAAAAATTATAGGAAAAAACAAGCACAATATGCTTCACTAAATCAAATATGTAATAATTATTTTCTACATCTGGCTCCTCCTAAAGTGCTTACATCTCTGTTTCAGTTGATGTACTACTAATTCAGCTTACTAATACATAAAAATATATGTAACTAAATTTGCAAAATCAAGACTTTGAGGCACCTACCATTAATACAGGCTAATTGCAAAAAAATGTAATTAATTAATAGTCTGAATACCTCAAACTCTGGAAAAATTATTTCCATTTTCAATGTTATGGGTTATTATGGAATTTTATAAAACACATACAGACACACATAATTCCTTAAAATTAATGCTTTCATGAACAGCTCCTGCCAAAATAATACAATTATTTATTTATATTCTATATCACAAAAAAGACTAACAGATGAGGTTCTAGATCCATAAGCCAATGGGAGTTTTGATCTTGACTCCAATGGGCCTGCATTTTCCAACTCAGGTCCCTAAAATCAGATGCATAAATATATTTCCTTACTCTTAAAGATGCTAAAGATAAAATGTCAGTAATGTTGGATGCTCTCAGTCAAACTGAAAATCAAGACACATTCAGTTATCTATGTTGATTTAACATAAATAAGTCATTTACATGTTAAAGGTGACCTAGCAATAATTAAAATTACATCCCTCATGATATCATCCAGAAGCTTACGTATAAATGTACATGCCTTGTAGACATCCAATTTAGAAAACATTGGCCTAATTCACACACCTATTTCTGAACCTAGTCACCAGAACAGAAGGAAACACCATCTTCTAAATGTGAAAATGTATCAAAAGATGTTTTTCATTTACTAATTGTGAAGTGTCTATGGTAGTATACATACTGAATACAGAATCGGGAAACTGAAGAAATTAAACTGAAGATATATGGAAAATGTAAAAGTTTTGTAAAAAGGGTATTACCATGCTTATCCATGCTGTATATCAGCAACTCCATGGACAATGACTACACATACAAGCAAATGAAAGCAGCTGACCACGTACCCACACACCTTGGCAGAGGTGCACTCCATACACGTCGGCCACCACCAAGACATATAATCTCCGAAGCTCCTTCTAGACGGTATCCAGATGAACAGGAGAATGTCAAAGTATCTCCCACCCCAAAGTTAAATCCGATTCTGTTACCAAACTGTGGAATCCCAGGGTCCTCACAAGGCTCCAGATTATATTCTGAAAACAAAAAAAAAATCAGTTTGAATGCAATGAGAACAAATGTTTTCTACCTGGCAACTATATTTGTTATACAGCCTAATATTTTACTGATCATCAATAAAACTTTTAGCTCCAAACACAGAATGAGTGCATGTATAGTAAACTGGTGATTCATCTACATTTTAAATTCAAACTATTAAATGTACAGAGCATTTGTAAGATGCATAGCACAGCATGGTTTATTATTCTTATTAGAGCCATAAATGTCTCAGGCACATAAAACAAACTAAAATAATTGCACAGCATAAAACAATGACAAATTTCCTCGTGGGCTAAATTGGGATATTGCTACTTAAAATCGGGCTTACTCTGAATTTATTTTTCCTCCCTCAATAATGTTCCTTACAGGTTACTGTCATTTTCTTTACAGCATACTTTACATGTCTCAGCAGACGTTTAGTTTAGTTTCTGTTTAGTTTTACTTCCTGAGATACAACAAAAGTAATTTTATTATTTAAATAATAATACCACTTTAAGCTTTAAACCTCCCTTTTTATAAACAGTGAATTTTATTTGCTTTATATAAATGGATCATTTAATTCCCTTACCAGAGAAAGAAATGTTAAATCCTTCATATGATATTGAAAAATCTGAAATAAAGCGCAACTGAGCTCTGAAATTTCCATAGAGACCAGCATTGATTGGTGAAGGAAGATCTGAGCCAGTCAGACGTGCCAGTGGCTGCGTGAAACTGCCATTTTCTGTGATTAGTAGGTAGTCATGATGATCTTCCAAATGAAAGGTGTAAAAGGTAAACTGCACTCCTATTAGAAAAAAAAAATTAGATTTACATATCACATCATTAACACAAATGCAAGTATACCATTGATTACATTAATGCATTTAATTACAAAAGGTGGCTCAGAAAATTAAGCTTGTCCCATTTCCTTAAAAATGAATATCCTTCTAGAGTTTAATAGGCTTAAAATGTATTTCCAGCAGGTACTCTGATTTTATTACTGCACTTTACTTCTGCCTTGTAGCTACCAGATGTGGATATTTGGTTTGGATAACTCATGGAACACACTAATCTTTCCAGATAGAAATCAAATGATGTTTCCTTATCCACTTTAATAATGATAAAAGTATTACAAAATGTTTTGCAATGCTACAGAACGTTGAAACAGGGCAGTATATCTTTTTCTCGCTAGCGTTACATGAAGGTGAACCATTTTGGCTCAGATATTCTGGTAGGGTAGAGGCTGGGGGTTGTGGTGTGCATCCTGTTTATCCTGATTTATAATAGGAGGTGATTGCATGGTTACCTATAGCAACTCTTTGGCCCAGGCAGTAAAAGTAATGTAAGTAATTTGTAAACATAACACATCAAGCTGCATACATGTAACACTAAATCGTAGCAGAGGTGAAGTAGAAATCAGCCATGCAGAGATATCCATGGAGAAAAACTGCTCCTATGAAATGTTAAGACACTGACACACATTACACTAAAGATGTAATGGGTTTATCGCATCTTAAGTAGCGACCTGGCCACACGTTAATTCAATAAATGGTGTTATAAAACCAAGAATAAAATATGTGTAATAACCTTGTTGCTGGTTCCTATCATGCCTTTGACTGAACATATAGCCAGTGCTCCCAGCCTCCAGAGCACACAGGTACACAAACGTGTGCTCCGGAGGCTGGGAACACTGGTCAACTGATTTGGGCTCCCAGGTGGGGAGCATAATGGGCTCCCCTGGCTGGGGGCTTTGATTAACTGATGGATCTCCTAGCCATGGAAATTCAGGATACTCCCTACCCACTTGGCTGAGAGCTCTGATCACTATGTGCACCCTCAGCTGCAAATCCCATCAGTGATCAGATCTCTTAGCTGCAGTGGTGCAGGCACCATGGACTGCTCCCACAGTTAGGCTAAGGGGGCTTCCAGCCACTGAAGCAAAGATTACTGGTGCAAGAGGAACCCAGGATCATGATCCCAGGATCCTCCTGCACCAACAATATGGTGTTTGATCCCACAATTGCACCTCCTGTCATGCACATGTGGAATGACAGGAATATTGATTGTTGGGATCATGCATCAGAGCCCTTCACATCCTTTTTTAACGTCTGCCATTGGCCTTAGTCAACAACTGCAAAATCACCTAATACTGTAGCTTTATTATTTTTGTTCCCATTTATTATTCTCTTGTTGAAGAAAAAATGCCATATTGAAATTTCTATTTTGGGGCAGCTTTTGAGGAAGGGGGATTGGGAGGAAGGAGCTTGTGTGACTACAGTTATGACAACAATAAAAACAGAAAAGAGAGAGGATGTGGGGGAGATCAGGCTTGCCGCTTTTCTTGAGTGAAGCTGCTTTCCCAGGCTGCTGCCTGCAGGGCTTCCTGCAGAGCCGTGGAGCTGCACAGAGCCCAGTGCTTCATTCCATGGCTGTAGAGGCAGCAAATTAAAACTCCTTCAAAGAGTTTTAGTTTGCTGCACCCTGAATCACTCAAGGCACATTACGCCACGAAATTTCCTACAGCAGCTAGAATTAATGCGCAATGTGCCGCCAACGAGTGCAAACACCGACACCATTAAAGCGGTGCAAAAGCATTTAGACCACTTAAAATGTTGTGCACACATGCCTCTCATTTTGTCTACACACAGCCTAATACTGTTAAGTGCATAAATCCAAGAATAGCATTCCTTCTCTTCACTACAATGTTGTATTGGAAGTTTGCATTCTTGGTTACCTATACTTGACCCCCACATTTTTATTCAGTGTTGCTGCTGTATGGAATACACTACCATCCTACATGTTCAACCTTCCCTTCGGCTGTATTAAAACTATTGGTAATGTTTTTCAAATAAATCCCTCCATTCCTCAGATTATGATCCAGATCATTTTGTTTAACTGGCCTATTCCCATCTCTACTTAACACTCCCTTTGTTAAGAGAATAATTAATGGTGGCAAACAATAATTCATAGGGAAGCACCAGGCCTGTCTACTTGCCTGAGTTGCACAGGGGCCCAGTGCTTCCCTCTGCGGCTGCAGTGCCCCCTGGGACTGCCCAAGCCAGGTGCCTGTGGGTGGGTGCTGCCTAGGGGGGCACCACCCCTGACGGAGGGAAATACCAGCCCCGCCACACCCCAGGAACTGCTCTGTCTGCCGGCAGCTCGCTCTCCCCTCCATGCTGGAGAGGTAGGTAAGTCAGTGGGGTGTGTGCATGACATGGGGGTTTAATCAGCCCTAAATTGAAGTGGTGTTTTTTAAAACCCACCGCTTCAATTTACGGCCCCTGTTTCATTGACACATGCCCTTAACTAGCAATAGGAAGGAGGTATTACTCTGGCTTAGGAAGGAGGTATTATTCTGGCTAAAATGAGCGAGACCCATTTTGGAGATCCATCTCATAAACACATGATCCAACCAGTTCCCATAAGGACAAAGGTCTTCACTCAAATAGGAAACAGGTGAAGGACAAACACCAAATTTTGGATTTTGCAGATGCAGACCCCAATCAAATATTTTTTCAGTTCATTTTGGCCCTGGGATTGGCAAGTTTCATGATAATTATTCAGGACTCAAGTCTGGTCTACATTGCATCATTTGCCAAGAAAATTTAGGTTCTGATGAATGTTTCCCCACACACACCTTTCACAAGAAAGCAGAACCCAACAAAAGTGTAAGTGGTAGGGATTTTTCAATCAATATTCGAGTTTGTTATGACATTTCTAAGCAAGACCCAAAAGTATATCATCTTAGCTGTTGTCATACAGTTCAGTTTTCAATAAAAAATGTTATAATCATTTTAATATATGCTTTCTGACAGATTATGCTGTCACAAGAGAAAAAGTTTAAAAGATATGTTTAGATAGGCTTTTGTTTCCCCCCTTTTCTCTCTCTCTCTCTTTTTTTTTTTTAAAGAAATGAGGGTTTGGGTTTTACAACCCAAGTAAAATAATAAAATGTGATGCTCAAACTTCCTTTTTCAATACCTTTACATTTTCCCATTAGTTCATAAATGTAAAAACAAATCTGATATTTCATCCTTAGAAATATTTCTACGTGTGACATAAACACAGTATATTTTTTTATAAAGTAATACTAAAAGCAAAACAAAAAAAGATTTGTTAAAACCTATGAAAAAGAAAATGCAAAACATGTTTTGCTACAATAGTCTCTTTCCTATTTCAGAATTATGGCTATTTTAATGAAGGTTTTGTTTGGAAAGACATTTGTCAAATTTCTAGCAAAAGTAGTTAATGTGATTAGTTTCAGATATTATTTTAACTTTTCCTATTAATATTGCACAGGCTTTTTAATACTTATTTGCAAAGCTTAATAGTGGTCCACAAGAAATAAATTTAAAGCATAGTTAATACTACCTATAATGTTGAACATGAAGTTAATCATATTTTTTATTAACAACCTGAGATAATAGGTCTGCTGTATTTTCAAGCCTCTCAATTTTCCCATCTAGCAAAAGCAATGGATCTGTACTCATCTGGCACTAGCCAAGGGACCCAATTCCAGGACAGATCAGGTGAGTCTGGTCAGGGTTGGGTACTACTGTGGGCGACACGGGGCTGACAGGAGGGGGGGTTTGATCTGTGACTCAGCCAGAACAGCTGAAGCAGAGTTTGCAAGGGAGAAGCACTTCATGCTTGGATACTGGAGGGTGACATGCAGGCTCCTGTTGATAGCAAAGAGTCCTGGAGTTGGTTTTGTTCAATATCTTCATCAACGACCTGGAAGATATGATGGGGTACACCCTGAGCAAGGCTGCAGATGCCACCAAGCTGGGGGGTAGTAGATATGCTGGAGGGTAGGCATAGGATTCAGAGAAACCTTGACAAATTGGAGGACTAGACCATAAGAAATCTCATGAGGTTCAATAAGGACAAATGCAAAGTCCTGCACTTAGGACAGAATAATCCCATGCACTGGTACAGTCTTTGGGTCAACTGGCTAAGCAGCAGCTCTGCAGAAAAAGCCCTGGGGGTTACAAGCTGAATATCAGCCAGTAGTGTGCCCTCGTTGCAAAGAAGGCTAAAGGCATACTGGGATGCATTAGTAGGAGCATTGTCAGCAGATCAAGGGAAGTGATTATTCCCTTCTATTCAGCACTGGTGAGGCCACATGTGGAGTAATGTGTTCAGTTTTGGGCCCCCCACTACAGAAAAGATGTGGACAAACTGGAGAGATCCAGTGGAAAGCAACTAAAATGGTTAGGGGCTAGGAAACATAACTTCTGAGGAGAGGCTGAGGAACTGAGTTTAGTTAGTCTGGAGAACAGAAGACAGAGAGGATGTAATAGCAGCCTTCAACTACCTAGAAGCGTGGTTCTAAAGAGAGTGGAGTTAAACTGTTCTCAGTGGTGGAAGATGACAGAACAGCGAGCAATGGTCTCAAGTTGCAGCAAGGGAAGTTGAGGTTAGATATTAGGAATAATTTTCACACTAGGAGGATAGTAAAACACTGAAACAGGTTACCCAGAGAGGTTGTGGCATCTCCATCCTTGGAGGATTTTAAGACCTGGCTAGACAAATCCTTGGTTGGGATAGAGTTGGGGATGGTCTTGCTTAAAGCAAGGGGTAGGACTACATGACCTCCTGATGTCCCTTCCAGCCCTAATTTACATTATTCTTTGACTCAGCTGAGTAACAGGATCTGTCATGGGCCAGCTCCAATCAGTGACACTGTCAGTTTAATGTGCGATACAAATGAGCTACAAAATTGTTACACATTATATATAGAATAACTTTGTGGCTTGTTAACCCTACTGTCAGATGACTTCAACATGTGACCAGATTACTATTCAAGGTATGATTAACCTGTTAATCATGTCTTAAATGTAACATGTCAGGGGCCTCAGAGTATAAATTCTTTGGTGAATCATTTTTGCTGTATGTTTGGATATCACCAACAATAGTGGGGTCCTAACCCATTACCAAGACCCCTAGATGCTACCATAACATACATGCATACATGTATAAATATTTACAGTAAATATTCTAGCTCATCAATGCAAACCTGATTTTGCATATGGAACATGACATACTGGATTGAAATAAATAAGGCTGAAATAAAAACAAAAATCTAAATCATTTACCTTTTCCATGGGTGACATCCACAGTCCATGTACAATTCAGTGAATTTGGATAAAGTTCAGGATAACCAGGTGATAAAATTGTTCCACTGGGTCCTCTAACATCTCCTCCACATAACGCTAGAAATAATAAATGAACACATTAACACAATAAACTATTGGATCCAGGCTGGATCCAGCCACATGGAGCTTCCACTGCTCCCTGCTCCACATTGTAAACACTTAGTGATATAAACGAGCTAAGAAGTCTATAAACTCTATTTAAAGTATGTTCTATTTGTGAGTTATTCAATTATTCTAGATGCAGCATATCTCTAATCATAACTAATATTTACACAAAGTGAAAGATAACACAATCATTTCATTGTTGACATTCTTTTATTAGCAAGTATTGCAACATTGGATTTCAAGTTATGCCAATTATTTTCAGATAATTCCTCCTGAAAAAGGCATCCTTCTTATAGAAAAAATAATATTTTCTATTTTCAGAATTAGTATTGGCACTAAAAAAAATTATGTTTTCAATGGGGAGAGAAAAGAACTGATGGATAAGAAGTGACAGGCTAGAATGAAAAGATGAGCTCAAGATTCCTACTTGAAGTAGTTAAAACCCCATTGTATCATCCTAAAAATGTTTAGAGACCCTTTCAGAACATATTTTGGTCAGGGTCAGATGAGAGGAAGTAAGACATACATTTCCATAAGTCCTATCACCCTTTTTGTCCCAACAGGTCTTTCCTTTAACTATAACAAAGGCTAGTCACAATTGTGCACTAATTGAAGACAGACATGTAAATAAAAGATCAAACTATTCTCAAGATCATCCCTTCCAGGTCTTGTTACTAGAGCGTTCAAATAGTATACAGAAAAACTTCATTCATTTGAAATGCAGGGGAATAAACAATACCAACTTCAAAATAAATGGGTTTGAATTATCCAAATTACTATGGGTACATAGAAACTTAGTTCACCCACATGTAGACCTTACACTTAGATGCACCCGAGTAGGGTTAGGTCCATATAAGTGCAAAAATTTCCTGCCAACCTCAGTCAACCCCCCTGCGGATGCACTAATCCTCAATCTTATCCCTGATCATGTCAAACTGCCCCCAGTCCTGCCAACACTGCCACTCACCCCTCTGCACCCAGGGCCCCACTAACCTTTTTGTTCAGTTAGCTAGATGGGTGGTGCTAGATCTGAGGAACTCAATCCAGTTGTGGGGGGTTGTGCAGTCTAACCCTTATCCATCTGTCTGGGGCAGTGATGGGGCAGAGCAGCCCTGATCTGGGTGCATGAGCAGTGGGGACAGGATGAGGTTGCATGGAGCAGCCCTGATGCAGACATGTTGGGGAATGAAATGTGGCAGAGCAGAGTGGTTGTAATCTGGATGCATGGGGAGCAAGGTAGAGTGGCATGTCCCTGATCTGGACACACGAGAGGATAGGTGGGGCAGATCAGTCCCGATCTGGATACACAGTGGGCGGAAGGGGCAGAGCAGCCCTGATCTGGACATGCAGGGGGGTTAAGTTATGGAGCAGCCCTGATCTGGATGAGTGCAGGGAAGAAGAGGAAGCATCTCATTCCCAATCTAAATGCGTCTACATGTGTGTTGGGGATAAGGGGGGGGGGGAGGGGCAGAGTATTTTGGCCCAGATCTGGACATGAGATGAGGAGGGAGCAACCTGGCCTGATCTGGATGTGTGATGTGTGGGCTCTGCCCTGATCCCTCTGTATGAGCAAGGGCCTGGGTGAGGCTTGATCCAGCCGCATAGAGCTTCTGCTTCCTGTGCCATGTTCTCTGACCAGTGGGGCCTAGAAAAATGGCTTCAAATGCCAAAGTAGCTGTATTTTGAATTATCCATATCTTAAAGCATACAAAAAATTAAACTTTCAGCTGGGGAGTGACAATATCTTCAAAGTATGTTCAATATTTGAACTATCTGAGCTAACTAACAAGATTTTCCTGTATAGCGGCATCCACTATAGGGGAAGTGAAGGATAATATAAGTGCCCAGAATATAAAATATGCACCTCTTCTGCCAATTGGCAATGGTGGTTTGTTAGTAGTTTTGGATATTGGATAGTTAGTAGTTTTACAATGAATAGTGCCTAGTCACTGGAGATTATATGTTTTTTAAGCTTGAGTTTTCACTAGTTATTTGACCAGCGCAGTTCACTTTAATTGCACCCTCTCCTCATAAACATCTTTATTTAAATCTCAGGTGAATGTATAATAACTCCTGAAAGAAAAAAAATTATACATGATTTGAGCAGTGAGAAGGTACTATACATTTTAGAAATATTATTATTTCACTTTTTATCAGGGGCATGCCCATGCACAATAGCTGTTACTCCAAGCAGATTTTTTTTTTTTATAACAGTTTCTGCATTTACAGAATTCTCACAATAAAACTCAGATATATTATAAAGCAAGACATCAGTTTCCAAGGCAATTTATTAGGCTGTAAATTAAAGGTATTTATCCCTTTCTTTTTTCTTAACCTAATTACATTTGGTATATAAGGTGATCCCAGGATTTTAGAAAACAGTCAACTCTTTCCTTCTGTCACTAGATTTCATTTAACCAACATAGATTTTTTTTTCAGAAAAGCTGTTTGCAATTCTTAATTAACATTAGTAGCTCTTCCAAATTAATTAACATGAAATCTCCCTTGTCAACCCCAAATAATCAAACTCTCAGACAGTGTCCTTTCAGAATAATCTGTACTGGCTTCAATGATGGTTTCTCATAGTCTGCATTTTAATGTGAAAGAGAATTCAATACCGCAGTTGCTAACAATAAGGTTTTCTCTTTGGTTCAGTCTCATGGAAATCCCATGCTTTAATGTGATTCCAAAACTAGTTCCAATATTTTGGCACTGCAATTACCACAAGAAGCAACATAAGCATATTTGTGTGTGTCTACACGTGTATGGAATCAAAGCAGCTCGACTGATCTTCTGGTGAAGTAATAAAATTTGGGAGATTGAAGCCAAAATGTGGCTAGATACAGCAGGATTACAATGTCCAAACTTAGATTTGGTTGCACTGAGATATTCCAGGGTGCAACTTGTCAGTGAACTTGGCGCAGCTAGGCTTGTCTTCTATTTCACTATACAAGTTGGGTAGAATCCAGTAGAATGCAGATCGATACAACTTTTACTAGAGGGCAAGATCCATTAAGATGCAGGTTTTACCATTTTTCATAATTCCACGAAAAAGTAGCTAACCTACATATATTTAATGTAAGTAGCCAAAACTCAACAGTTAAACCAATGCTTAAGCCTCTTGTTGAACCAGTGCCCAGAGTGTGGGGAAACACCCTAGGGAGTTTACCTGAAAACTCTTTCTCACTTTCCTTTACTGTAAGCCTTGTAAGAAGAAGCAGGTAAAAGGGAACCAATTCAGGAGCAAGGTGCAGCAAGCAGGCCAACTGACAGCAAAGTCTGCTAGGGAAGGTCTGCTTGGAAGGAGAGGCAGGAAGAGAGAGGTGGGGATTAAGAGACCTAGAGAAAGGATTGCAGAAAGTCACAATGCTAGACTCAATGCCACTTCCACTTCTTCCCTTTTTTGCACCTGGGAGGTGTCTATCCAGGCAGAACTGCTCACCTGTCAAGGCTTCTACCAAGGTCCTAGTTTGGCACTGTGGAGACTGCAGCTTGCAAGTTCCTTCCTGTGACAGCCAGATGGGGGAATGCCTGCAATGTCTGCAGTGCCTCCTGGTAGTGTACCTCAGGAAGCAGACAAGAAAGCTACAGGAGGAGGTGGCAAGGCTCCAAAGCATCCCTTACCATGAAGACTTCATTGATTTAGTGCTAAGGAGACCTCTAGGACTGTGGAGGAAGGACTGCCAGAGATGGAGCTAAAGAAAGAAGAAGAAGGTGGAAGCTAGAAACTTATGACCTCTAGTAGCAAGCAGAAACCTTCATTTCCACCTGCAGGAGTTTTCCTGAAGAAAAGATATGGAGTCCTAGCAAATGAGAAGCATGTTCCATTGGTGGAAGGCGACCAGGCATCCCCAAGGGTGGGAGGATCGAAACCATTGCCACCAAGAGGAAGCGATTGGTGGTGGTGGTTGTGGTTAGACACTCCCTTCTGTGGGAGCCTGGAGCCCAGATCCAAGATGTCACAGAAGAGTTACTGAGATTCATCTGGCCCTCTTACTACCCCAGGATTCTCATCTATGTGAACACCAATGGTATTGCCAGGGGTCACCCTGAGCAGATCAAAATGGGCAGATTGGCAGATAGGCAGATGAAATGGGCGGATGAGAATCTGATGGTGTTTAACACTGAAAAATGCAAGGTTCTCTACCTTGGGAGGAAAAACCTGCAGCATGCTTATAGGCTTGGCAGCGCAACAGTGGTTAGCACTACAGATGAAATGGACTTGGGGGTCATGATTGACCACAAGATGAACATGAGTCTTCATTGTGATGCTGTGGCTAGTAAAATGAGCAAAGCATAGATACATAGGTGCTTCTCAAGCCCATAGATGCTTCTCAAGCAAATCCTGGAACATCATTCTCCCATTGTACTCAGCCTTGGTGAGGCCGCAGCTGGAGTACTGTGTCCAGTTTTGGGCTCCACAATTCAAAAAGGATGTGGAATAGCTTGAGAGAGTGCAGAGGAGAGCCACACGCATGATCATAGGTCAGGAAAACAGACCTTATGATGACAGGATGAGAGCCATGGGACTCTTCAGCCTGGAAAAGCACAGACTCAGAGGCGATCTGGTGGCCACCTATAAGTTTATCAGGGGTGTTCATCAGGATCTGGGGGAACATCTGTTAACCAGAGCGCCCCAAGGGATGATGTTTGAACAGTCACAAACTCCGCCACGACCAATTCAGGCTTGACATAAGGAGGAGAGGCCAGAAGGTCTTGCAGAACTCGGCAGGTAACCTATTGACACCTAGGGCTTTGCCAGAGGTGAGGCCAGCCATGGTGGCTGCCAGCTCTTCCATAGACAATTCCTACTCAAGCTTGCTGGCCTCCAGGGCACAGAGATATGGCAGGCCCTCATGGAGTTCCTACGTGGCCTCAGGGTAGGACAACTCAGCTCAACTGCAAACAGGTTACGATAAAAGGCGATGGCATGCTCATGTACTTCGCCCAGG